AGTTTTTAGCATCAAAAGATAGAATGCAATTTTTATCTTGGGAAAGTTTTTGGACTGAAAGAAGGTTTTGAGAGAGATGAAGAACATGATAGAGAGATGGAAGATTAAGCTTACTTGTGGGGGTGAGAAGGATGCTCTATCCCATACGAGATATGCTTGTGACCTGACTGCTACCTACAGTAACTTGTTCCACACCTTGATATGGGTTTGAGAGATGTAAGTTTTCTAGATGTTGTGTGAGGTGTGATGTGATACATGTGTCAAGAATCCAAGATTGGTTGTTTATGTTGTTAGTTACTGTGAGTGTTGTATGGTGTTGAGGTTTACTTGGTTTGTATTGTAGGTTGGCCCTGAGCCAATAGTGTGATGCTGAATGAACTGGTTTGAGGCAGATTTGACAAGTTATTTGTTGTTTGGTTTTGTGTGATTTGGTTTGATATTTGGAGGATTGAGATGATTGGTCTTGGTTTTATAGTTGGTTTTGTGTTGATTTGGTGTGTTGTTATGTGGGTGGGAGTTTTTGGGATTGTTTGTACATAAAATTGTGATGGGTTGTTGTTTAAGGTTTTCAATAGCTAAATTAGATTCCTCACTGTGAAGTAGAGAATAAAATTGTTCAAGCTTGATGGGATTTAACTATGTGTGTACGGCGGTTTTGAATCCCTGGTATTTAGTTGTTAACTTGTTTAGTGCACAGAGGATGATGTCCTTTGTGTAGACCTGATCTCCTATACCTGCAATGTTATCAATTATGGTTTTAATGTTTGCCAAATTGAGACATGATATTGCCTCCCATTTTGATGTTTTGGAGATCATTTTTCAGCTGGATCACTCTAGCTCTGTTTGTTGACTGGAACTGCAACTTGAGGGATGTCCATATCTCTGCAGTACTATTGAGGTTGAGTATGTATGGTAGAATTGGTGCTGAAATAGTTGATAGTATTGTAGTTATGATGTTTTGGTCGACCAGATGTCAAAGCTTGAAATATAAGTTTTCTTCTGTGTTTTTTAACTCAGTTTTGATGAATTGAGGAGGAATGGAAGAATTCTCTACAATAAATTCTTCAAATTCATTTGCTTGAAATAGGTTTTGCATTCGAGTTTTTCATGCCTGATAGTTGCATATTGTAGAGGTGAATTTGACAGTGTCTTGATGTTTGACATAAGGAATTTGAGTGTTGTGTATATGTTGATTTCCTTCATTCTACTGAGAGACATGGATGATGTTTGGCTTGTTCTAATTGTCGATGAATTTGGAAAATCGATGGATCAATTGTTGTTGAGCTTGCACTCTAATACCTTGTAGAGATGGGAGAAACCTTCTCGAGCCTTTCAATATAAGGACGTATCAGTTACATCTTTTCCCTTAGCTAACTTTTTCAACTTTCTCCTCTAACCTTTCCTGCCCTAGTAGACCCCTTCTTATAGAATCCTCCAAACGGGATTCTCCTTCGTGCTAAAGTAATAATGGTGGGAACTTGAGGCACATGGAGGAAGGAGGGTAGGCTCACTTGTGTGCTCTTTGCTCTGATTAGATCTTGGTGGTTATCTGTGGGGACCAGCTTGGTATTTCTTTGTTTAAAAATTTCATTGCCTTGCTTTGAATTTGCTTTCTGAAATCCAAAATTCTTCTTCTTTCTCACAATGAAAGTGTATCTTTTTTCCTCAAAAACAAAAAGAAATTTATTCTACATTTTTTTCAGGTTTGATCAAGATATATCACCGACAATAACATTAGACTTTAAGAGAATATGAAGGAATTTATTAAAAACATATCCGTGTAAAATCACTAAAATATAATTAGATGCAAAGGAATCTAAAGATAAATTTGTTATTAAAATTTACATAAAAATCACAATATTTATTTATTCGCATATCTAACACATAATGTTCGATATCATATTCATAATGATTATGTGTACGTAAGAATTGGCTCGTGTGTATGTAAGAGCCCCTAAAACTTATGCTTGCAAATGCGTATTTCACTTTAAAAAAACTACCAATAGTTATCTTTTTTATGTAATATCAAAAATTTGAGTATCAAGTATGTATATACAAAATTTTAGCGGTTAGATCTCTAAACTAGTAAGAATTGTGTGGTATGTAAAGTCACTTTTCCAACCTTTAGAATATCACATAACTATAAAGAATTTTCTCATATCCAATAGGCAAATCATAGGCATATGACCCACTACATATCTTTAATCTACCTCAAATCAAAATCTTTTGATACATAAAAAGAATGGTGCTCAATGATTTACTTGAAAGGCATAAGAAGAAACACCATCTCCAAATCTTCCTTGTCCTCTTTGAAGTGCTCACCATGCATGTGCTCTTTTTGAAGAATCAATTTATTATTTCATTCATGAAATGTGGATTCCACTGCCCACTGTCTCCCCCCACCACTTTCAATCTCAACCATATATTTTCTACTAATAAATAAAAATAAAAAAAACTCATATATTTTCGGTCATTAAAAGAGAAAGCTCTTGCAAAAAAATAAAGTAAAAATAGAATTTTTCACTTACAAGCTTTGTCTATCAACCACTAAATGGGAATCAATGTCTACTTGACAAGACAATCAACCAATTGGGAAGCACATTGTTGTTCCAAGTAAGGGAATGGTACTAGCAAATTTAGCTTGATTGAAAATTTTTTTTTTTACATATCTAGCCTCTAAACATTATTTTTTACATATATAT